ATTTTTTCAAAATCAGTACTGAATTCCATTAATTGATTCAGTTTTCAAGAAAGTGTTTCCGTTTTCATCGTACATGTAGTTTACGAAGTTTAAATTTCGAATCAGATGGATACTAATGTAAGTGAAGTTATTTACTCCCAAATAATTTAGCGAACAAAAGTTAAAGTAATATAATAATAAATAATAATATGAATATAATATATGGTAATAAGTAATATAATAATAAGTAATAGAAGCCCTCTCATTTAAGATGGACATGGGAGTCACCTGGTGGACAGTTCCATAATGAAGTAGACCACATCATCTTCAATCAGAGATTTTGCCTGACCGACGTCGAATTATAAATAAATAATGAATTAATATAATATATAAGTGAAAAATTATTTAAAAGAAATTTACAATCTAAATAGCTGACTTAGCTTACAGTAAAATGTTCCCGTTGCGTGGTATATGTAAGCCAGAGGTTCTAACTTTTTGAATGAGATTAGGGATCATGTAAGTTAAGCTATCCATTCCCAAACTATCCCATATTGTAATGCCATGATATGTGGGCGATTTTTTTGAGGGAAAGGATTTAGATGATGAGTAGTAGTGAGAAGATGAAGGGACAGATGCTGGGGATTAGTTATTACGCCTACTTTACCCCCCTTCAGCTCTTACGTGTACGTGTGTGTGTGTGTGTGTGTGGTATCATAATCAATTCGCGCGTCTTATCTAGCCAGGATGACATAAAAGAGGATGGGCGGTCCTAAGCTCCCCCTTCATCACACCTCCCCTATATACACACACGGACTCATATACACATCGCATACATATACACTCATATTCGAATCCACACACTTGACATACACCGTATATCCACGGACACACACACAAGGGCATCCAAGTTCTTCCGTCCGTCCGCCTATCAGCACTAAACTCCTCTTTACTCCCCCCTACAGCGATGTCATTGGCACGTTAATGATGCTCGCTACTTCTTAACGAAACAAGTAAGCTTATTCTAGTAGGTTCAACTGTTCTCCTGATTTATGACTTACATCTTAATACTTGTATTTAGAAGGGAGTAAAACTTTCAGGATCATTTTGTATGCCTCCTTCCATGCAAAAAAGCGAGAGCCCATCTGTTCGCGAACGTGTTTTGGCAATCGAACGAGGCCAACACAGTGAGAATTCCATCATCCGTGCCAGATATGTGCCGGATGTACGTGGAGTGAATCGTTACAAGCACTTTCATGTGTAAGTTTTACCTTCCACTACATCTTCACCCTCATTTTCTTAATTGCCCCCATTTTATTGCCCCCATCAGACGCCTTATCAGTCGCTTCATTACGATGAGTTCCTTTAAATTGATACGGCTAATGAATGACGTTTTGTAGTAAGGCTACTCGTCGGCTATTCAGATATGAATCATTCGCATACTAGTACGTACTATGAGTCAAACCTCTGAACTAGTTCATTATCAGCTCTTTTATGACTAGCTCACGTATATTTCAGTATCAATACGCCGCCGGTGAAGCAGAATGGACAGGACAAGTTAGCAAACCCGAAAGGGTCCAGTGATCTGCCTCAACTCCGTACAACAAGGTACGAGTTCGCTAAACAACCTATTCTATGAAATCATTTCTATTAAAGTGGTAATTACGACATACTGTTACTCATAGATACATTATTACTCGAGTAACTTCAAACTATCGATTCAACTGATAGCGTTAAAGTGTTCAGTTCCTCTTTTTTTTATAGATTCATGTCACAATGGGTAATTAGATGCCCATTTCGAACAAAGCAGTTTCTAATTATGCCATGCCTGAAAAAATTCTTTATCACAGTTCTATTCCGGGTCCAAATCTCTACATTTTGTTGCCATTATTCCACTAAATTGACAGTACTATGACTGATTAGGTACGAGTACGAGTCCTCGTTATGTACGTTACGACTTGGAGCCCTCGTTATGTAAAAGCACCTGATCAAAGGGCATTTTCATCGTCTAAACTTCAATGATAACCAGTAGTTTTGGGAAGTACCGATCTGTCTAAAGCCAAGAATTTACGAGATCATTTCCCAGCTTGTTTCTCCCAGGAATCCCAAATCTAAGGCAGATGGAATTCTATGGAAGGGAGGGAGATCCGGAGTAATTTCTGAGCTCACTGTTACTGAAAAGTGGCCATTTTTACATTTACTGGTCATTATTTCTTACTACTCTACTTGAGGCTACTTTTCCAAGATAGGCTCTATGTGTGATTCACAAAAATAGAACTTTATATTTTATTCATAAGCCGGTATAGCCATCGCCGTCTCGACCTACTTAGGCTTAATAGATTCCTGGTTAAGGGTGCTGCTGAATGTACGATCACGCGCTTATCCGTAAATGTTTTCATCTTCCCAGTCTAGAAATAATCCTCTCAATCTCAGTCACGGCGGATTTGTGAGATATCGTCACAGTAGAATCCCAATTCTAGCTAATTAGTTATGCAATTCTCTGAGAGGCTCAATTCTATCTGGAAGGATTTTAGTATCTTTAAATTATTAGATGAACAATATCGTCGGCTTTCTATCATGGTAGGAACATACGGTATATGTGTATGCACTCATTGAGAAGACCCTCAACACTCGCTAATCCAGACAGAAAACGGACATTTTCGCAGTACATCCGTCCTATGCGTGCTAGACTACCTCGTTGATGCATGATTACGTCATCAGTGGAGGCCTATAATCATCTGAGAATTAACTAGTTGAGATGCAGTATGAGGCTATATTTAGATCAGACTTTTCTAGAACACGTCCCGCAGCAGCAGTTCGTAGCATCATCGACGATTTGGACAATGGAGTTGAGAAAGGTAATGAACCACTATTTGCTTCTTCTTCGACAGTATTGACGGAAGCTGCAGTATGTTGTACTCAGTTAGGGCATCACAGTTCAAACGATCATTACTGCATTAGAATTGAGTAGTGTTTGTCTAGAAGGAAGGGATACCAGAATTTAGGAGCTCTCTCCCATTCTAGAACAAAATGAATGTGACAGGGATGAAGGGATTTCAAGGACAACGCTTAACTCCGTTTCTTTCAGGAAGGCGGACCAAGAAAACCACCCTCCCTCATCTTGGCCCATCGACCACATTGGCGAAGATGCAGAAAGAATGGGACATCTGTGACTACAGTGAGGAGAACTTTACTTTCATATATACTTCTGAGTACATGAAACAGATAGATGGGATCAGATTTTTAAATTTCACCAGATTCTACCCTGCTAGGTTGGCTACGCCATGAATGAACCACCGGCCGGGACTTATATTCTTCGTACCTTTTCAGGAAAAATGTAATGGTATAAATTGTTGTCTGTTTGAGGGAAAAGGCAAAGATAAAGCTCTCAATTTTGATCGGTCCCACCTTGAAGAGCAAAGGTACTGTGTTTATGACCTACTCACTGATTTGTCGGATTATCATAGAACAAAATGGCCTTTTCATAAGGCCAGGCATGTCTGGTGGATCAATTATAGGGGGATGGAAGGCTTCCTGGTTCTAAGGTAGTTTCACTCCAGAATCAGCTACAATAGATCTTCTTAATTACTCACCAAAATAAACAGCGGATTTGTCGTAACCTGCACTTCCCAATCCCATGACACAAAATTCAATTGAAATTATAACGAAATTCGAAAATATTTTGAGAGAGCATTATTTAAAAAGGCTATATAAAAAGCCTGATTTTGCAGATGAAACATCTACATTCCATTATCAACGTTTTTCAAAGTACCGTGGTATTTTCTAGTTGAGCAACAAGCCAAATCGGCTATGGCTTCATCTGATTCACTGTCATCTTCCACCACAACAAGATCCACCCATTCCGGTAGAAAACTTCAAGACCATCTAACAAGCTCTCATCATCAACCAAATAGTAAGCTGGACCAGCTACTCATTCAGTACAGTCCCGTTAAATTTACTTGGATTCAGCTCCACGGACTTTCGCATCGCTGGGAACGGCGGCAAAAAATGAAAATGAACCGAACGCATCCGGTGAAGAGATCACCACAGGAAAGAGCCCTACCACATCCGGAGCTGCTTCTCCTTCCAGGTTAGCGACATATCAACGGAACATATACTTTTTCACGCCCTTGCTCTGCTCTAATCTCATCTTTATATTACGGAACACCGATTACTTGATGTGACGTACCTAATAAGATTCCTTGCTGATGTCTTATACTTGAAGGCTGGATGCTGAACCAAAGACAGATACCACATCTGCTCAATCTTCAACAGCAAATCTGAAAGAATCAGCTACACAAACTCTTGTAAGTACAATTTATGTATTTTTGGATTATTCCCCAGTATTCACGTGTATGCTACGATGTAATCGCTTCGCTCCGCTTAATCTTCCAAGAGTCTTTTGTTGGATGTTATTCCTATAAACTCCCCATATCCGCTTCCCACTTGCTAAGTACGTATATCTTCTTAAAAGATTTGAGGCATTACGATAATACTTCCATTTGCAAATGAATTACTAATATACGATGTCGTCAACAACCTAAATCGGCTTTACCCAGAAGAGTTTTCTGAGAAATTGCTGCGAAAAAGTTTTGGCCGAGAAAAATCTCAGAAGTCTTGGCAAAACTGGTGGTTTGCAATACATGTACTTAGTACAAGTATGAAGGAGTACTATAATGTAATGTAACGTGCCATACTGCTGTCAACAGAACACAATTGAGACATGTATCTGTGGCTACTGATTACTTGATTTCGGTCATAGAAAACTTGGTAAGGTTTAATTACACAATACCACTAGCCCCAGAGTCAAAAGTTACCGAATCCTTTGGAAATAGCTTTTTCGTGATTTTTGCAGACATCTTTACTTGAATTCATAACTGTCGTCTATTAAAATACTATCGTGAACTCAAAGTTGCCAGTCAATTCAATCGATACCCAGTTAGGTTGCGCCACCGGTTTTGCAAATCCTGAAATCTTTGCTAAATATTTCACATCAATAACAGAACTATCATCTTAAAACTTGCTTTCTAGCAAGTTGACTACATCCTCTCCGTTCCTCATCCAAAAATTGCTTCCCTATATCTTAATTGTGCTCATTTACTCCTGCACTTTTACTAACCAAAGTATTCACAGATGGCGCATACACGTTGAGTCCATAAAACTGAGATTTTTCTCAATTTCGGCTTTTTCACATACAACACCTCGACGAATTTCTAAGACTTTTTAACCAGAACTTATGGTAGTTCTTAAGTTGTCGCCACAGATAAAATACTACCAACAAGCGTTGAAATTTTCTCTTCTCATGAGCCTAGCCTTCTCCTCGTCCGGCCTCAAACCTTTTCCTTTGTTACTTTTGATCTCACAAGCAACATTCATGATGAATTGGATTCTGGAGATGAATCTCAAGACGCAATTTGAATAAAAATGTAAATAATAAAGAATGGTCACTAGAACGATCCAGTCAGCCCAAGGAAATCATTAAGGGATTGCCGACTTCAGCTCAATAAGCGCTTCAATCGCTGAGTAGAAAATGGGCTCATTTCCAGTATCATATGTATATCCCAGAACTTTTTTCAAGCATTTACTTGTTGCTCATTACCGAAATCACCTTTACAAGTAAGCGCATGTCTGGTTAAAAATAGAAACGTCGATTAATAGCATTTAGAAGCACGTCCATGTCTGAAACACAATAGTGCTTACATACGGTATTTGGCATTTCCTCAACTAAAGAGCTGGCATTACAGAACGCAGGAGGGTTCCATTCCTTTCACTCCCGTTACTCTACTTTTACTGTCTACTAGTAAACGAAAACCCAAGGTCCTTTTTCATATTCATCATCCATCATAATGCAACCGCTTACAGAATAAACTTTCCCTTTCAAACTTTCTAAATATTTTCTGATTATTACGAAATTCACTGCAAATTGTCAAGTACAGTTAACTAATAGAAACCGTACTTCTACGTCTGCTGGCCTTATGGAGGAATGGTGAAGCTCACTCTACTCAAAACAAAATTTAAATTCGGGTGAAAACGAAACGAGCTGGATTGCAAGTTTAAATAGGGTGTCCTGAGCATAGAAATTTCCGGCGTTTTGGCCTAGCACGAAATGGTCCAGCCAAATGTTTAAGGAATCCATCGATTCCATATTGCCTACAAACAGCTGTATTCGACTTGTAGAATATTCTATAATATTTTGGTGCCATCAAAATGATACCTGCGCGTAGGAGTTATCATGACTTATCAATGTGAATACTAAGGGAGCTCGTCACCCTCACCAAGAATTCAGGGCTACATTTGTCGTGTTACTCACCCAGCTAATTCAAGTCATGTGACTCGACATAAATATTCATCGTATGACGTTCATCATTTAAAAGAACCTAGGAAAAGGAAATAGCATCAGAGATGGTTGATTATGCACCTGTTTATCATAGGGATGTTCGCCTCACCTGAGCTTGTCCTCCAAACCGGTGAACTTATCGATATTCTTACAAATTTTGGGTATAAGTATAAGCAATTTGAGCCTCTCGTAAGCCCAACACCTACGGAAGACCCATATGCCCCTATGCCTGCCCTAGGGCTTAGATCCGGCCCTACTTCAAAGTTAAAGCACAGAATTATATCGTTTGCCCTCATGTTGGAACACAAACGATGAAGACGGATCGACTAAACAATGTTCATTCATAACTCCCCCTCTACAATAAAACCTTTCGGAACCACCTAATTGTTCAAGGGAAAGTAAGCTATAAAAGCACAGTTATAGCACTGCCATATGTTTGAGACAGGCACAGGGCTTTCAAGGGGGAGACGGGCATTAGGAACGATTTCGGGTAATCGATTCGCCGCACGCGGCTGTCGCTGACCACTCATTCGCCGTTATTACATCTCTAGCGTTCTTCATACAGCTCAATCGATAAGCGATCATTATTTTATGCATAATTCTACTATTTGTTCTTTTGTTCTTGTATTTCTTACCTACTGCTGCATCCTGCTACATTCCTTCGCGCGCGACGCCCC